CAGGACGGAGGCAGCTCCTGGAGGGCCGCTCTGAGTGGAGCTGAATGAGGCAATGGACAAGAGCCCCCTCCCAAATGTTCCAAATATACAAATCCCACTAGTAGAAAACACCATCAAAAATTGCCAAAACAATATATTAAACAATTACAAAGTTGGTGGTATCACAACAACAACAACAACATGAATGCATACTGTAACCATAATAAGGCATAAGAGACAATATTTCCTCCTTTGAAGATAAGACATAAAGTCCACGTAGTCAGTGTAACTTGATAGGAGGAGTCCACAGAGTCATAACATTGTCCAAACAGCCTTTGCAAAAGACGCCTTGTGGTCATTGTTCCCTCTAAGCTGAGTTAGTGTGAGCTAACTCACAGTTTTTTAGCCTCCAACTCACATATTTTTGTCTTAGCTCAGGAAGGAGGGCCCCAGAGCAAACTAATTTATGCAGGAGGCAAACCGCTTGGTCACAACTTTAATGCCAGTAGCTCACCAGGTAGGATTTTTGCTCACAAGAATCCACAGCTTAGAGGGAGCATTGCTTGTGGTCTGTTGAAATTGCTGAAATCAGGTTCCACTTACGCAGCCGGCAAACTGAAGAAGTTGAAGGAAAGGCATCTTCCGAGTATCTAGGACGGGCGTGTGATGTGACACTAATCTTTTTTCCCCTTTGCTTTTTTGGACCCTCCCGTATGTGGGCTGCCGGCCAGTCCGGTGGCCCCACTGGTGTTTCCTCCGAGGCCTGTGGTCCTTTCTTCACGAGAGGGTTGGGAGCCAGTGAGCTCCTCCTCCCCGAGTGGCTGGATTTGGCCCGGGTGCTCTGGGGTGTTTCTCATTGCTCCTGGCGCTGCGCTCTGGGGGTTGCCCTGCAGCAGAAGGGACCGTGGGCACCCGTGCCCCGCGAGGGAGAAGCCCAAGGGACAGGAGGCTGCGTTGCCCGAAAGGGGAGGGCGTTGGTGGGTCTCGCTGGACCTGAAGTGTGTTCGGCCAGTTGCAGATGTTAAAACGGGGAGAGGGGCAGCCGTGCAACGGTGAACATCTCCGGCCAAAAAGGACAGCGGGTCTGGGAATCCATCAAGCACACAAGAGAAGCCCATGTTGGGTCAGACCAGTGGCCCATCCAGTCCAACACTCTGTGTCACACAGTGGCCAAAAATACCAGGTGCCCTCAGGAGGTCCGGCAGTGGGGCCAGGACACTGGAAGACCTCCCACTGTTGCCCCCTGCCCCAAGCACCAAGAATACAGAGCATCCCTTGCCCCAGCCTGAGAGTTCCTATCTAGACCTTGTGGCTAATAGCCCCTGATGGACCTCTGCTCCAGATGGTTATCCACTTCCCTCTTGGAACTAGGAGGAGGAGGAGATTGGATTTATACCCCGCCCTTCACTTGGAGTCTCAGAGCGGCTTACAAACTCCTTCCCTTCTCCTCCCCACAACAGACATCCTGTGAGGACAGCTCTTGTCAGAACTATGGCTTGCCCAAGGTCATCCAGCAGCTGCGAGTGGAGGAGTGGGGAATCAAACCCGGTTCTCCCAGACTAGAGTCCACGCACTTAATCACTACCCATGCTTGCCGCCGCCGCCACCACCTCCTGTGGCAGTGAATTCCACGTGTGAATCACTCTTTGGGTGAAGAAGGACTTCCCTTTATCCCTTCTAACCCGACTGCTCAGCCATTTCATTGAGTGCCCACGAGTTCTTGCATTGTGAGAAAGGGAGCTGATAGGAGGGCATTCTGCACTTGCTCAGAGGAACAGTCCATCCCCTACCCTTTGTACCTGTGATCTGTAGCTGAGCCCTGGTGCTGACCGTGGGGGCAGGATCTGAGTTGGAAAAACAGTAGCCGTGGGCTGGAATGGGGGAGGTCCGGGCTCAGAGTGGGCCAGATTGAGGGGCCTGACTCCGTTTTCCCTGCTGCTTCCACCAGGCGTTCGAGGAGGCGCACGTCGACGCGGTCATGATCCTGGGGGAGGCCTTCTCTGCCGCGGGCCCCTTCGACTTTGGCACCCAGAGCACGACCCGCGGCATCCAGGCGCTCATCCCCACAATGCTGAAACACCGCCTGTGCTCCCCGCCGGAGGAGAGCTACTCCCTGCACCGCAAGATGGCCGGCTCCTTCCTCATCTGTGCCCGCCTGGGAGCGGTCATCCCCTGCCGCGAGATGTTCGAGGAAGCCTACCGCTGCTATGCGGCGCAGGAGTGGGACTCAGCGTCAGCAGAGGGAATTTAATGCAAGGGAACGGCGCGTGGGCCAGGAGCCTCTGGGGGCGGAATCCGTCCTTTCTGACGCCCAGTTGGGGTGCCCCCATGATTTACGGTGCAGGATCCGCTTTGCCTTGGCTCACCGGAGCGGCTCCCAAGGAATGGGCGTTGTGTTGGTGCCTTACGTTTTGCCTTCTCTGCCCCTCTCTGGCAAGACCCCCCCCGTGCCTCTGGTCATCCCCACCGCAGAGAACCAGTCCCCTCCCTCCCCCCCCCACACGCACCAGTCCTCTTGCCCCTCGGGGGCACCCTGTAGCAGTGCAGGGGGCACTGCGTGAGGGCCAGGCCTTCTCTGCTGCCCCCTGCAGGCTGGGGGCCTCTGGTGCATCGCCTGCCTCTCACCGCCCAGGGGATGGGGCTGCCGGAGAGGAGATCATCATCCGGGGCAAGGTCGCTGGAATGTCGGACTAGACCAGCCTCCCCTGCCTTCCTGGCCCTCCGGCTGCCCTGTGCCCGTCTGTATCCTGTGGGGGGTAGGAAAGGACGGTGTCGGTGGCAGCCGGTTCTGTGAACTGCAGAGGGAGAGAGCAAAGGAAAGGGGTGGGCTTTCGGAAGGGCCCAGCAACGATTGAAGAACATAGAAACAACGGAGAGATCACGGGAAGGATGCAAACAGTGACGAAAACAGCCGTGATGTAGTATTATGAAAATATACATTTATAGACTGCTGTTTTTGCAGTGAGTAGTATTTCCTCAGCAAGTAATAAAGATGTACGGGAAGAATGTTGAGAATCGTCGACGTGTGAACTAATGTTACTCGCACAGCACACTTAGAAAAAGCGGTCATGTGAAACGGTAGTCTATGCAAATCCCGTTGTGTGGATGCGCACATCTTTATTGCTTGTTGAAGAAATACCACTCCCTGCAAAACAGCAGTCTAAATATATTTTCATAATACTACATCACGGCTGTTTTCATCATTGTTTGCAACGACTGAAGAGCAGCAGCCCAAAGCCGGAATGGGCTAGTTGGGGGCCGCAGGGGGTATTGCCCGTTCGAACCCCCCCCTTCCTGCACATGGATGGCAGCCAGTCTTGCTTGGGAGCTTCTCCCCCCCCCTCTAGATTTCTGGCCTCCTGTCACCTCCTCCCCTCCTTTTAAACCTTGGCTGTGGGCATTAACCCCGATGAAGGGGAGGAGGGAACCGGAACCCAGCCCTGAAGCTGGCGGTGGAGGGAGAGGGGCTTTCAGTCTTCCCTTCCTTGTCCTCTGCAGCAGGGGTGGGCTGTCTGTTGGGACAGAATTGGGGGTCTCCCCCTTTTTTACTCCAGTTGATTTTTTTTTCCCAGTGAAGGGGGCTGATTGTGGGAGAAAAGGGGAAGGGAGTTCAGTTGCAGTGTGAAATGTTTACATGTGTGGGGGGGGTGGCGTTTTATTCTCTGGGTCCATGACCCCCCGTTTTATCCTGGGCGTGGAAGCGTGTCTGCCTCAGCCGTATTAAAGTTCCACCAGCCCTCCGTGGAATTGTGTCTGTTTCTGCTCAGCTGCCCTTGAGCGTCAGGGACTTTTTTACTGCGACGGTGTGTTTGCTCGGGTTGTGCCGGGACTGCCGACAACGTTCGGCCGTCATCGGCCCTCTTAAACATCCAAAGCGAAAGCAGAAAAACTTTTAATAGTTCAACTCCCGAGACGGGTCCAGAAACCAGGAAAAGAAAGCCGAGCTGCAGGAATGGCTAAAGTAAACTCGGAAAGGAGTAGAACAAATTTTGGAAAACACTCGATCCTTTGGCAGCCGGTCTACCTTTCCCTTTTTCCTGCCGGCTCTGAGCAATAAGGGTTTTTCATGACTTGGCACGGGTAAGAAAAAAATTAGATGGTTCAGCCCTTCAGAGAAAAAGCTTTGGCGTGCCGCTTTCCCAGCAAAGCTCCTCCCACGTGTGGGTAGCCCACATCCTTGGGCAGCCGGTCTACCTTTCCCTTTTTCCTGCCGGCTCTGAGCAATAAGGGTTTTTCATGACTTGGCACGGGTAAGAAAAAAATTAGATGGTTCAGCCCTTCAGAGAAAAAGCTTTGGCGTGCCGCTTTCCCAGCAAAGCTCCTCCCA